AGTAAAATACTTTTAACGCCAATCGCGAGGTCTACTATTTCACGTACTTTTTCAATAAAATATAGACTAGTATAGGCATGGCCAGGTGGTTAGAGTGCTTGACTCACAATCTGAGGGTCGTGGGTTCAAATCCCCGTACCACAAAACATGCTCACCCTTTCAGCAATGGGGGCGTTATAATGTGACGGTCAATCCCATTATTCGTTGGTAAAAGAATAATCCAAGAGTTGGCGGTGAGTGGTGATGACAAGCTGCCTTCTCTTTAGTCTTTCACTACTAAATTAGGGACGGCTAGCGCAGATAGCCCTCGTGTAGCTTTGCGCGAAATTCAAGCTAAACCAAGCTACTAGCAATAAAGGTTTGTTTGTTCTGAATGTTTTGAGGACAGATAAACGATGATTTTCTGCGCATAGACGTCCCTAATTTTGAACTTATAGACTTAAGTGAAGAAAGTTAGTTAACAACTATTGGACTAGTTTTGTCTGACCAAAGAAAAAAAAATCGATCAATACTCTTAGGGCACAACCACGTCTCCAAAGTGCAGAATGCGCTTTAACTACAACCACACTCAAACAGGGAACCCTCTGATTCATAGCCTGGACACGTTAATCATTAGGCGGTTAATGTGTATGGTTGATTAACAGCATATTTTAACCCATTGTACAAAATTAAATGCGTATGATGGTTTCTAGAATGCACATCGTTATCAAAGCTTTCTTGGCAGAAAGTGTAATTTAGCCTATTCATTTCTTATTTCCTTACTAAAGGTGTCTAGTAAATTGCTTCAAAGTTATTATGTTCCTGTTAGAGGCACGTACACATAACAGAAATATTTTAAAGTAGCCACTAGAGGAACTTCCGTTATAAAACATTTAAAAGTCACTGATTCAGCGTTCACTTTATATAAAAGTATAGACTAGATGTCCTTCCGCGGGGTCCCCGAAAGTGATCTGTTTAAAAAGTAAATAAAACCAAAATTAAGAGTAACAGATATTTTTAATTCTTGCTTTTAAAGTTCCTATGTCATGGAGCGTTATAGCCTACAGAGTGCATAATTCTTCTCGTGACGTATGACATGCGCACGTTTTACTGACATCACAAAAGTACAAATTGCAACATTAAGCATCCCTTATGTGACGTCATTTTAGTGACTTTTGACTGACAAGCAACGAGTGGCTTAAATAGGTGATCCCTTCAGGCGGACTTCGGCCTCTTTTGTAAAAATAAATGTATTGCAAAATCGTTATTTTGGTTTCAGATACAGTAATAACCCGTTTAGCACTCAAGTCGGGTTCCCGAGAACAGAGCTATAAACGAATCAGCTCTAAACAGGGTCATTTTAACATTACATATACGGAGATATGTAACTGAAGGCATTGTTTCTTATCTGTGAATGATGTACAAGTGTTTTATTTAGGTACTGGTGAATATAGATTGTTACAATGCAGTATTGTTTATTGAAGTAAATGAAAATAAAGTTTTAAAACAAAGAAACACATCAAACTGGCACTGACTCGAGGGTGGAAGGCAGTACCTAGGTGAGGCAGTGGACCTCATTTGGCTCTTTATAATGAAGAGCAGAGCGCTGCAATATTTAAAAAAATCCTGAATTTCCCCTAGTGTGAGAATTGTGATAGTTTCTCTAAGCAGCCCCTCTTCTCTATTTTATTCAGCACCCCACAATAAGTATGAAATTTAACGTAAATTACTCATTATAACATAATCATCGCTGGAAAAAAGCAAATTTTTATTAGTCTTTAATCTTGTTTGGTTACAGTCATCAAATAGAAAATCAGACCCCTCCTCCCACGCTAAACTGTCACACCCTCTCCCAGGATTTGTCAATACAAGCAGTTCTCTCTTACGTTTACGACTATATTAGTTATAACCAATAGACAGGCAAGATTTTAGTCTATGAGATGACATATTATATTACGTTGTTTTCTGTAAAGAGATTTGTAGATCGCTTCCTAAAAAAAATGTTTTTCCCACCCGAACGATATTGTACAGATGGATGACATTGTAACGGTTCATATGAACACTAGAAACACCAGAGAAATTGTGATAGTTAAAGGACATTGTATGCTTTTTTGCATGTTGTTATTATATGTTCTTTGTTGCATTATATTATTAGATAAAAATTATTTAGTGCACTACTACTACTACTACCATTAGTATAAAAAAGTAGTGTTCAGAGAGTTATGGATTTTCATAATTTTTTCTCTCTCTTGAAAAAAAATCTCTCATATATATATATAAAAGTGATTGCATACTCCATGTCAGCTTTATGAAATAATATGGAAAATTTATAAATTAAAGGCATTATAGGATAATATAATTTATGAGCTGAGGTCCTGTAATATCAGTATATTCTGAAAGAAAAAAATTACATATTTAATACAAGGGGAAAAAAACGTTATTTTGTAATCTGATTTATGACATGGTTTACCTCAAATAAATTAAATGTTTAATTTAGTTTCTGAGTTTTTCCTACTATTGATAGGTATTTGAAGAAATCATATCTTTTCAGTGCAATAGTTTTGGTTTTTTTCTGTAACTTTTGTTTGTATTTACATTTTGATCCCTAGTGTAGCCACTGTCAAGTACACATAGCTGAGGATAAAGAATATATCTGTCTTAAAGTTTTTTAAATAAAATGAATACGAGTCTATTCGAGAAAGAACTGAGTTTTATATAACCTATGCTAGATACAAAACACTGTGTTTGCAGCATGGGAAAATTAAAGTTTGCAACATTAAACCAAACTGATCGAGGCATAACAAGTTACAGCTGAACTATATCTTTAACCGAATTTAATAATGTGATATGTAGATATCATAACAAACATATTTATTACTTAGGATATAATTATACCATTATTCATATATATATGTATCTATTTATATTAAGTTTAGTACAAATTTCTGTATTTATTTACAAGTTCTAGGCGAATAGCATGTTCTCACTTTTAACTGCATATAAGATTGAGGTACATAAACGTCCAGAATTATCCTAAAGTTTAAGGTAATATTACCTGATGATGTTTCAATGAGGATTTCAGCTTTTCTTGGATGACTGATTCTTGCAAGATCTTGCATTAAGTAACTTATTTGGACTATCACCACATTATTTTTGTTGTTTTAATGCACAATCTTAAGAATATAAAATAGCTATGCTACCAAGTTGGCATGTGATTTTCTTGATAATATATATATGTACATACTTTCAGAGAAGCAAGTATAGTAACTGAAATATTGACAATTATACAAAGACACAGACAATTAAATTATGTAGATATATACATAAACTTCCACTTATAAATCACAATGGTTGGACACATTATTTATTGGAACCTTTTCTAAATTTTCTTTTCGGCTATAGAAGAGACTTGAAGCTGGTTGTCTCAAATTATCATTTTTAAAGAAAAGTTATCTTTAAAATTCAAGGTAAGAAATTTTAATACTAACATAAACAAGACATTTTCCTGTATTACATAACAAAAACAAATTACTTTACTTTTTTGCTAATCTTCTCAGAAATGAACATAATGGAAGAGTGTGTGCTATGTGTCAACCTACCCTGAGTACGGGGCCAACTGATATGGATGAAATTAAATCAAAAACACCTTATTTATATCAGTACATTTGTTGCACCTTTAAGCAAATGAAGTTAAAAACACTTTAACTGTTTCTCACCATAATGCCTACAAACATCTGTCAACCCATCAGATTACTTCACTAGGGACAGGCTTACAAGTGAACTGTAAAGTAACTTTCCCATAAACAAGGATGAAAAGAGTAAATTAAACTTATGATCAGCCCTTAGTCCCAGCCCATAAAGGTGGAGAACCAGATGGTTAACTTTCCCATAAACAAGGATGAAAAGAGTAAATTAAACTTTTGATCAGCCCTTAAAGGTGGAGAACCAGATAAGTAACTTTCCCACAAACAAGGATGAAAAAGAATGAATTAAACTTATGATAAGTCCTTAGTCCCAGCCCATAAAGGTGGAGAACCAGATAAGTAACTTTCCCACAAACAAGGATGAAAAGGATAAATGAAACTTATGATCAGTCCTTAGTCCCAGCCCATAAAAGTGGAGAACCAGCTGTGTCTACATGCTCTCTGGGACATTAGATATTCACTTTATTTGATTCTATAGGATGATCAGTGAACATTGGACTTCTGCACCTTTAACGCGCTCCAATAATCAAAATTATTTACAGATCAGTAAACATGCAAACTGGTCATTTCATGAAGCATTTGAATGGATAATACAGAAAAATATTTATAATTTCAATTTTTAGATCAATTAAGTAACTGGTTATTTCATGAAATGCTGAGGCAATACTTATACAAATCAGTATCCACTAGGGTAAATCACTGACCCATTTTTAAAAACTGAGACTTTTAAAAGGCAAATATTGAATATTATGTATATTCGTGTATGAACCTACACCTGTCCTACTAGACCTTTTATTTTATCAATTTTAAAGCAAATTTATACATATTGGAACTTGTATCATTGTGACAACCATTTTTTTCCCCCCATAAATTTTGCTACTAAAGAGGCATGATAACGTAATGGTAGTTAATACATTCAACCTCTTTCCAATTTAGGCTTCACCTACGTGATTTAACATCTAAGCTGATACTTTTTTATTTGTTCACCATTGCACTTTAAGGAATTCATGCATTTCTGAGGCACTCAGGTACCTATGATTTCAAAAGATATTTTACAATTAGTTATTGGCCATCAATAGGTCAATTAAAAGAAGTCTCACAGATCAATTTCAGTTTAGCATAAACATCAAAGCATACAAAGCAATTTCAGATCAAGCCTACTAGTATTAGTATTTTGTCTTCATTTTCATCAACTCCACACCCCTCCAAAATTTTTCCGCAGGATATGAACAAACCAGGTGTACATTCAATATGATAATAGAAATGATGACCAATTCTCACCGATGAATAAATGAAATTAAATAAATATTTTTTTACTTGTAATACGCATCTTTTCAACTGCATAATTAGTTCCACATAAAACGGAGTTGTCATATTATCAGTTTCAATATTAATTTTGATGAAATTACATTTCATAAAATATTTCATCTTCTTATGGTCCACAGAAGTTACTAGTGTTTCTGACAAAGTTACCTTGTTGAAGGAACCTATAAGAGAAGGTTATTACAATTCAAATCTAAGTACCTAAATTCATATACACATATGTATTAAATCACCACATATTAAAAGTTATAGAAGGAATGCTATCAAATAATATTTCAATGCATTAAAAGTGTAGTTGCCTAAGTCTGCAAACCAAGAAATGCTTTTAAACCACTGCATACTTACAAATCATGATAATGATTGTAAAGTACTATAAGCAGACTTGTAACAAACAAAGGACAGATTTAACCCTCGAAAGCCAGCGTTGTTAGTTTAGTATACAGGTTTGACTTGTATGGAGTCATATTTATGTCATGCTGGTGTTCTATGGTTAAAGTTTTTCATTCTCACGTTCTATTATGTATTCTGTGATAGAGTACGAAAAAGGCGGTAAAAATCTGTTGTGCATCAAGTTGCTAATTACCAGCATTGAGTGATTTGTTTATTAAGGTAAACAGCTGTTTTCATCTTCCACAAGGAGAGTCATTTCAACAAATCTTTATACATGTGAAGCCATATAGGGGGCTCTTGGGTTGGTTGTTGAAGGTTAGGCTGCAAGTGGTTGATTCTGGGTGAGAACTACACTTTTAATGGTTCCTGGTTCACTGATATCTACAAATTGCTAATTTTGTTTCTGAATCAACTACAACATTATTTAGTAAACTCAATAGAATCACAGATCTGATAAAGATCCATGAAGGAGTCAAAATGTTGACACTCATCCAAGTTGTCCAGGCAAGTAGTTCAAATTACTAATCAACTGAATTTTACAAATGAGTTAAGGCTTTCAAACAATATTCAATTTGAGTTGCTACAATGTATACTTATTCTTACTGTATATATGACTTTTTCAGAAAACAAAAACAAATTAATTGAATTAACTTGACAGTAATTACACTTATAAATACTTGCCCGACATTATCTTATTATAAATTACAATTTAATACAAATATGAATTTTTTTGCACTGTCAGTGCACAAGAGGCATCAATTTTTGTATGAAATATATTCCCTTCAAATATTTTGAATTCTACTTAGGTATTCAGTCATTCTGATAGCAGCTTTTAAAGAACCCAAAATATGCCACTGTCATGACAATTGGCATTCTTTTTTTTTGTTTTAACATTATTTTTAAAAGATGAATTTTTAAATAAAACTTTTCAGTGAAAATTATTCAGTGTATATTATCTTGTACTATAGGAATAGCAACTAAAGCTGTATAAAAAGATATAACTGTCATTATTCTGTAGTATTTTTCAATTGAAATCAACCATTTCTTAAAGCATTTGAAAGATTTATCTGAGACCTTTCGTAGAAGCTACACAACATTCTTTTGCCTCTTGATAAACCGAATAAACAGTTTGTAAATTTAAACTGTGCATTAATGTAAATCTTGCTTCAAATCTTTCTTTTACTTTAACACAAGAATAAGTATTTTCACTTCTCTCACAAAACCTTTTAAATTCTTTACATAAAATTACAGATCAAAAATTTTCTATAGTAATTTAAGGACATATACTTGGACTATGAATAAACATATTTGTCCTTCATAGCCAAAATCTAATCCTATTCAAAATTGCAAGATATATATATACCTGGTGTAAGAAAACATCAACAGCTTCAGAAACAAATTCATTTTCTGTCATTAAACTGTCCCACGTTGTTACATTTTTAACTTCTTCATCAAATGTTCTGCATAGCTGGCTGACCTCCAAACTGACAGCCATTTCTAAAGTTCTAAAAAATATATGGTTAGTGAATAGGTAAAAGAATGGTAATAACTCATATTATGATTCCTTATGAACATTCTAGAATATTCTATACATAACCTGCTTTTTAAATGAAGATCTTAATACATTTTTCCTGCAATGTTAACAACCTTTAATAACAGTTCTTCAAATTATAGTCTTTAAGGTATTTCTAACTGTTTCTTAAGTATATTACAATTACAAGAGACAATCAATAGGTCAGTCAAATGATAAATTGTTGAGTGTAACACATCTACTATATACTCATGCAATTTGTTTAAAACGTGAAAACTCAGACTGAGTGACATTCAAGTTCACAACCCTGCCAATTAAGCATTTAAAATAATATCTGATAATGCTGTACTTAAAGACTTTTCCGAGCAAGTTTTTCTGTTTCCAAGAGGAAAATTTAAGACTTTCTCTTTTTGATATGTTATGTGCTTTGGTTCTATATCATTTAATAATCTTATAATATGAATTTCTCATACAGTCATAGGTCTAGTCATAATATGATTGGACTGTTGGATGGTTAGGAATTTGCAATGAAACAAAGATATATAAGTATTAAATAAGTCATCCATGGCAACAAGGCTTTCATCTGCAGTAACTTGCAACTGCATCAGTATATGTAACTCATTCTTAGAAACTATGATTAACCCTCTTGTTATGTTTACAAAAAATACATATGTTGTTTACAAAACGTTTGCAGTAATGTTTGAATGTACAGAAACACACATATACAACTGATCTCTTATACAAACAAAGTGGAGTGTATGGTACTAGTATTTTCATAGTAATCTGCTCCAATATCAAAGTTGACAGTTTTTAAAACTTATGAACTTAAATTTTAAATTTACTAACTTAAAAACAATCATAAACTATCTGTCATTGGATCTCAATATCTGTCATACAAATTGTAAAAAAACAGTGTAATTCATTTAAACATTCTTTAAATACAGTGAGACTGTTGAAGCAAGGAGTAACAGGTAACAACTTGGTTTTTACTGTAAAATGCATTTCTAAACTAGTATAAATAGCTTGAATACACAGAAAAGTTTTTTCATTTTGTTTTATGACCGTAACTGCATAAGACACACTAGATTTCTGTTTAAAAACTAATTTGATAAAGATTAGAAATAGTAGAATATAGCACACCAGAAGTCTGATTATTTTCTTTTATGGTTTTCAAACGAGACCCAAAACCCGAGCGCTTTAGAATAGTTCACTATTCTTCTTCTTTTTATTCTCCTGAAGAAGAATAGTAAATTATTTGAAAACACTCATACAACATTACAACATTTCTATGTGATCCTGTGTGTTAACTTCTTAATCATTTTCTTTTATAATACACAATAAGATACACTTACGAAAAGGGGTCATTAGCTGTGGCTGTCAAAGCAGTGCAGAGCTGAGTAAGAGCACAGTCTCCTAAAGATCTTGTAATATGTCTTTTTCCCTCAGTATCTAGTTGCTTAAATAATTCTTGAGCTTCTTGAATGCATTCTTTAAATAAAATTGTGTATATATATATATATATATATATATATATATATAGTCAAACTAAAACTTACTTTACTACTTTATTTTACGTCCGTTCGTTTCTATAATAAACTTTAATTTTTTAATTTTATATATACTAATAAAGTTACTAGT